GATTCATCATTGTTAGACCACCATTAGAAACCTGGAAGCACTGGACGGCCGTTTCGTCCTAGTATGGGACTCCTCAGCAGTGCGCATCCACGACTCCTGCTCCTCGCAGGATTCGAACCCGGGACCTTTGGCATTGTAGGCGAACGCCTTACCATCGGACCACTGGGCCGGCATCCAACGGTGTTAATGTCTAACTCTGATTGATCTAGGGATTTTGCGCGACCTCACCCATTTGTCTTTGGTAGTTACTGCCTACACCCGACAGGGATGAACTCCATTGGTCACGTCTTCTCAACTAGAACTCCGAGAATTTCCTCACGAAGCTAGTCACTAGTGAGCACTGTTACATTATATTGGGGCACAGTTTTGGAGGTTTGCGTTTTTTACACATTTGAAATCATCAATCAATCATTGTTAGACCACCATTAGAAACCTGGAAGCCCTGGACGGCCGTTTCGTCCTGGTGTGGGACTCATCAGCAGTGCGCATCCACGACTCCTGCTCCTCGCAGGATTCGAACCCGGGACCTTCGGTATTGTAGGCGAACGCCTAACCATCGGACCTCTGGGCCGGCATCCAACGGTGTTAATGTCTAACTCTGATTGATCTACAGATTTCGCGCGACCTCACCCATTTTGTCTTTGGTAGTTACTAACTAAACCCGACAGGGTTGAACTCCATTGGTCACGTCTTCTCAACTAGAACTCCGAGAATTTCCTCACGAAGCTAGTCACTAGTGAGCACTGTTACATTATATTGGGGCACAGTTTTGGAGGTTTGCGTTTCTACACATTTGAAATCATTAATCAATCATCATTGTTAGACCACCATTAGAAACCTGGAAGCACTGGACGGCCGTTTCGTCCTAGTATGGGACTCCTCAGCAGTGCGCATCCACGACTCCTGCTCCTCGCAGGATTCGAACCCGTGACCTTTGGCATTGTAGGCGAACCCCTTACCATCGAACCACTGGACCGGCATCCAACGGTGTTAATGTCTAACTCTGATTGGATCTAGGGATTTTGCGCGACCTCACCCATTTGTCTTTGGTAGTTACTGCCTACACCCGACAGGGTTGAACTCCACTGGTCACGTCTTCTCAACTAGAACTCCGAGAATTTTCCTCACGAAGCTAGTCACTAGTGAGCACTGTTAACATTATATTGGGGCACAGTTTTGGAGGTTTGCGTTTTTACACATTTGAAATCATTAATCAATCATCATTGTTAGACCACCATTAGAAACCTGGAAGCACTGGACGGCCGTTTCGTCCTAGTATGGGACTCCTCAGCAGTGCGCATCCACGACTCCTGCTCCTCGCAGGATTCGAACCCGTGACCTTTGGCATTGTAGGCGAACGCCTTACCATCGGACCACTGGGCCGGCATCCAACGGTGTTAATGTCTAACTCTGATTGATCTAGGGATTTTGCGCGACCTCACCCATTTGTCTTTGGTAGTTACTGCCTACACCCGACAGGGTTGAACTCCACTGGTCACGTCTTCTCAACTAGAACTCCGAGAATTTCCTCACGAAGCTAGTCACTAGTGAGCACTGTTACATTATATTGGGGCACAGTTTTGGAGGTTTGCGTTTTTACACATTTGAAATCATTAATCAATCATCATTGTTAGACCACCATTAGAAACCTGGAAGCACTGGACGGCCGTTTCGTCCTAGTATGGGACTCCTCAGCAGTGCGCATCCACGACTCCTGCTCCTCGCAGGATTCGAACCCGTGACCTTTGGCATTGTAGGCGAACGCCTTACCATCGGACCACTGGGCCGGCATCCAACGGTGTTAATGTCTAACTCTGATTGATCTAGGGATTTTGCGCGACCTCACCCATTTGTCTTTGGTAGTTACTGCCTACACCCGACAGGGTTGAACTCCACTGGTCACGTCTTCTCAACTAGAACTCCGAGAATTTCCTCACGAAGCTAGTCACTAGTGAGCACTGTTACATTATATTGGGGCACAGTTTTGGAGGTTTGCGTTTTTACACATTTGAAATCATTAATCAATCATCATTGTTAGACCACCATTAGAAACCTGGAAGCACTGGACGGCCGTTTCGTCCTTGTATGGGACTCCTCAGCAGTGCGCATCCACGACTCCTGCTCCTCGCAGGATTCGAACCCGTGACCTTTGGCATTGTAGGCGAACGCCTTACCATCGGACCACTGGGCCGGCATCCAACGGTGTT